GGAGAGCAACAAGGACCCCCACAATTCTGAACTACAGGTATTCTCCTCTATTGAATTCTCAAAACACCTTTTGCTCCTGCCTCAATTCCAACTGGCTGCAACCCACTGGAATTGCAGCCAGTGGGTTGCAGCCGATGGACTTCCTGCTTTTTTTCTCACTCCCACTCACTGCTCAGTTTCTCCAAATCCCACTGAACGGCTTCCAGGAAGCCCTTTGCAGCATCCCTGCCAATGTAGCTAGAGGAGCAAATGAAATATTATTGCTTGTGGGTGGACCAAAAGGCCACTGATAAAATGTCCTTAATTCCTGCCTCCTTTGGTGGCTTATAATGTTCCAGGATGGAATCGTATTTCAGTTCTCTTGTATATCCACCTGCAAAAAAATGTTGAAGAGGGAGGAACAAGCAATTCTTTTCAGGGAGAATTTGATTGCTCCCTTAGACCAGTTTTATCCTTCCTTCCTTCCTTCCTTCCTTCGATTATTGCTGTCTACCTCTCAGAGCATACCCAATGATAAAAATCACCCCAAAAGAAGAAATACCAGGCCTGTACAAGTATATGTTTTGGTCTGGATCAACACAGAAAACGTTGGAAGGTCTTAGATCAGGGGTGTTCGACCTTAGCAACTTGAAGACTTCTGAACTTCAACTCCCTGAGTTCTGCAGCATGAATTCTGGGAGTTGGAGTCCATAGGTCTTCATGTTATCAAGCTTGGACACCCACTGTCTTAAATATTCCATGGACTATGAAATATGTCAAGGCCATCTTCTCAACAGAATGCTGGGACAGGATAGACACCAAATTTTGCTAAAAATAACAACATCAATTGTATGCCCAGTAAGTCTGCTTTGAACGTGCATACATGATTGAGAATAAACACAGCCAAGGGGGGAAAAATAGCTATCGAAAGCCCGCTTTGAAGGTTTTTATCAAGGACCCCAGATCTACATTGTGACATATCATTCTCTCTGTAAAACGAGAACCATGTTTTTTTCTTGCAAATGAAAGCTGAACTGGTGCATGCTTTATGATTTCAAGTGTTTTTTTTTTTAATTCTGTTTGCTCTCTGTGCCCCTTGATACTTTCAGGAAGGTTTCAATTTCATTTCTTCTTATGATCTATTTTTTCTGCTTTTCATATGTGATGTGGTTTAGGTTTCTTTGTTCTTGTTGCAGCAAAATAATTTTATGAGCACCGAACTGGAGAGAAACAAAAAGAGGGTGGAGAGGAAGTAGACCTGTCTGGCAAGTAGAAGGTCTGTCTTGCCATCATCAAACGTTATATGAGGCCTCTTTCTAAGCCTGAAGAGATCCTCTTAACTTTTTACTGGCTGTTTAAATACAGCACACTCTGTGTCTATCTTGTACTTTGTTCACATGCGGACAGAAAGACAATAGGAGAATAATGGAATAATGGTGCTGGAAGGGACCTTGGAGGTCTTCTAGTCCAACCCTCCCTGCTCAAGCAAGGAGACCATCTACCATTTCAGACAAGTGGCTGTCCAGTCTCTTCTTCAAAACCTCCAGTGATGGAGCACCCACAACTTCTGGAGGCAAGCTGTTCCACTGATTGTTCTCACTCTCCAGAAATTTCTCCTTAATTCCAGGTTGCATCTCTCCTTGATTAGTTTCTATCTGTTCCTTGTCCTGCCTTCAGGTGCTTTGGGGAATAGATGGACCCCCTCTTCTCTCTGACAGCCCCTCAAATATTAGAAGACTGCTATCATGTCCTCCCTAGTCTTTTCACTAGACTATGCCCAATTCCTGCAACCGTTCTTTGTGTGTTTTAGCCTCCGGTCCCCTAATTATCTTTGTTGCTCTTCTCTGCACTCTTTTTAGAGTCTCAACATCTTTTTTGTATCGTGGTGACCAAAACTGGACTATCTCTTGATTCTATCCCTCTGTTAATGCAGCCTGGGGGTTGTATCGGTTGCAGTACACACAATGTCAAATCAGCAGAAGTCAATAGGCAGCTAAGGGATTCAGGGAAAACATCAGGTGTCTATTTCAAAGAAGCTTAGATCAAACCTTGGGTTAAGTCAACATTTGTGCCCGTATTACTTCATTACGAAGTGCGTTTGGGGAAACCTCCAGCACGTGGCCTGGATTCACGCAAAACCGTGCAACTTCCCGAAGGAACAAAGCTCAGATTGATGTTTGAACGAAGCCTTCAGATTTTCTCAGAGCATGCCATTCTCAAAGAGGAATTCAGTTAGAATCTAGTTGGTCCTAGCCAGGCAGTCCCCTCTCTGGTTTTAGGAGAAAAGTTGTCATTTTTGTTTTGTTTCGCATAGTGTTGGTTTGTTTGCAATCGCACAGATTCTTTATTTACTACAGCAGAAAGTTGTAGAAACAGCACTCTCTACTCATGATAGACCACATTGAAATGTCATAGTACCAGAAGAAGAAGAAGAAGAAGAAGAAGAAGAAGAAGAAGAAGAAGAAGAGGAGGAGGAGGAGGAGGTGGTGGTGGTGGTGGTGGTGGTGGTGGTGGTGGAGGAGGAGGGTGGGGGAAGGGAAATGTTGATTGGTAGAATTATAGATTTAATTTCCCCATTTCTCCTCCTCTAAATATCTCTTCCATGTGAATTCTTCCCAACATTGTATGTTTATATTTTAACTAAAACCGTTGAATTGCTGAGAGCTCTTCAAACTTGCAGAGCATAATTAAGTTTCAAATATGTCAACTGAATAGGAAAAAAAACCCCCTACTTAAATAAATAGCAGCATTCCTTTGGAGAAGTCTCCGCTCGTAGGAAGAGCTCAATTTGGAAGGTGATACGTCATGAATTGTAGGACAGCTGACTATGCCTGTGAAGGTGAGGGTGCCCTTCCCTTCGCCTTTTGCCCTGATTTTGCTCATTCTTTACACTTGGACCACAAAGTCAACCCAACCACCTCTGGTTGAGCTCCATGCCAAGGAGCAAAGGAGAAGGCCTACCTCTTTCCAACAGCAGTCCCAAAGAGAGGAAGGTGGCTAAAAGCCAGCGACCCTGTTTGACTTTCACATCTCCAACTGGCTCCTGAATGATGTGAACTGGTTGGGTCTGACCCTCCCTCTCCCCGGGGCACCAGCTGCCAAGCTCTCCTCGTCCCCCCCACCCCCTTTCGACTGCCTCTCTATCCAGCCGGGTTTACGAGCTTCAACCCTCTTTGTCTCCTGGGTCTAAAAGGAAGCAAAAGAGAAGTTCAGGCAGGAGCAGCAGAAGAAGAAGAAGGCGTGATTTGAGGACAGCCTGCCAAGTCGGAGTGGCAAGGGAGGGACGGGCGAACTTCCCTCCACATGAAAGCTACGGTTAGGGAGGGTGATGAAAACACAATGCAAACAAGAAAAACAGCCCTTCCTGGAAAGTGGCACCACCGTTCAGCCCGGCCAGCGTCATTCGGCAGAGATCGCGTAAGACCCAGGCGTCCTTGCTGGAAAGAATACTTGGCTTTCGGACAGGATTCTTTGGTTTTTTTAAAAAAAAATACACATATATATAGCCTAGAAGCCTCCTTGCAAGGAAATGTCCCCAAATGTAGCCTTGGTTTACAGGGGTAGGTTAGATTCGACAGGATATCACTACAGGATGCAGTAAATCAAGAAGGGACCGGACAGCAGAGAAGGTCCTATTTTGAGGCAGTGACCTTCTTTTAGTAAGAGAAGAAAAGAAAGAGAGAGAGAGAGAGAGAGTAAGAAAGAAAGAAAGAAAGAAAGAAAGAAAGATAGATAGATAGATAGATAGATAGATAGATGATAGATAGATAGATAGATAGATAGATAGATAGATAGATAGATGGATAGATAGATAGATGGGAGGGAAGGAGGAAGGGAGGGGGGAGAAGATGAAAGAGGAAGAAATAAAAGAAGATGAGAAAGGAGGGAAGAAAGACAGAAAGATAAAGAGAAGATAAAAAGAGAAGGAAGGAAAGAAGGAAGGAAGGAAGGAAGGAAGGAAGGAAGGAAGGAAGGAAGGAAGGCAGGCATAATTAAGCAGAGCAGAACATCAGAAAACTCAGACATGAAGCATAATTCTTATCCACATAGAAATATCTCTGCTAAACCCACAGATATTCCAGAGACCAACTTCTGGCTGGGTGGTGTCCCATAATAGGTGAAGGAGGCATTTTCCCACTCCTTGTTACCCAACTCCTTGGGTGGCACCCCCTGAATTATGCAAAGTTATTCCACCAAATAACCGACGTGAACAAACCGAGGCAGTGCCCACCGGAGGCACAGATTGAAAACCAGCAGCAAGTTTTAAGCAGGGAAAAATATAGACCGACGGGGCTTCTTGGCATTCTCACCTCCATCTTGATTAGAATGAACGTAAAGAGAAGAAGCCCCCATCCTGGCTTTAACTATGAACAGGAGCTGCCCCGTTTACATTTTCTAGCATTAAAACTGAGTCGATAATGGGGTTCTGGAAGGGCTCCCCTCCCACCTCTGTGAGACGGTGCAGTACCCAACAAGGAGAAATGGAGAAAAAGTTGGAATTATGCTCCATAATAGGTACAACAGAGACCCTCAGGAGTAGGCTACCAAGAGTTGGGTGGATAATACTCAGTGCAGAGAGCCCTAAAGTACCCCTTGCACGCACGGTGTTACCTCACAAAAAGCCAGGCGCTGGCAACTTCAGAGAGAACTGCTCTGCTGGGTCAGAGAGCCCGAGGTCAGAAGAAGGTCTTGAACTGGCCATCAGGTGAGAACCAGGCAGGAGGAAGGAGGCGGGAGAAGAAAGAGAGAGAGGGGGACAGGTAGCAATTCCCCACCGGCACTCATTAACAACGGGTTAATGGATGGCAACCCCAGCAGTGGGGTCTACATAAGCCTGAAGTTCTAAAGGGCTGTCCTCAATCTCTCTCCAGTTCAGTTTTGGAAGTCTGAAGTCCAGAGGTCCATCAGTTCCTCCTCCTCCTCCTCCTCCTCCTCCTCCTCCTCCTCCTCCTCCTCCTCCTCCTCCTCCTCCTCCTCCTCCTACCACCACCACCACCACCACCACCAAGCAGAGAGCTCACCTGTGTGGGTCCTCAGGTGAGCTTTCAGATGCGAAGACTTGCCGTAAACCTTTTCGCATCCCACATAGTGGCATTTGTGTTTTTTCTGAGGTAATTCAGGGTCAAGCTGGCACCTCCCCTCCTGCTCCTTTGTTTCAGGCTGGGCTGGTTGCCTGCCGCCAAGTTGGTAGGTGTGGCTGCTCTTTCTCCTCCACAGTTGCTGGCTGGCAAGATCAGGTCTTGGCCGAGCGCTCCCTGCAAAAGAGGAGCTTTGGCTTCCTCCTTTCGCTCCATCCTCTGAATCTTCTCCAGCTGAAGTGAGGAAGACTTCGGAAGATGTTGGTTTAAGTCAGCCAAAATGCTGGCCACGGCATACACTGAGGTGGTACCCCCTCCGTTGTCTCTTCCCGCCTCCTTCCCTTCAGGTTTCTCCTTGGGAGTCAAGTCTGTGAGAGGGGAAGCCACCCCAATAGGTGGAGGTCTTGGTCCTTCTGCAGGACCATGGATGATCGCCCGGCTGGACATGGAGACAAGGCACTCGGCAGCAAAGTAGGCAGCTGTGGCCATTTTCCACACCTCTTGGGGTGCACAAATCCACTCTGTCCACAAACAAACAAAAACACTTCCAGACGCTTGGCAGGGGTACCTTCCTGAGAAGAGAGCAGGTTTCACGAGAAGGACTCTGTGGGCAAAAGGCTCACCCCGTTGCCCTCTTAAGAGGAAAGGCTGCCGGTGAAAGCATCAAGACAGACGAACCCCCTGCAGAAGAGCTGGCCACTCGAAGCAGACCGTCTCCATCGCAAGTCTGCTGCACCTCCGGCAGCTCTTCCCTTGCATGCTGGCGGCAGAAGTGAGCCAGCCTGTTAGAGCGCCTTCAAACCCCCCTGGGGGTGTGGCTCTGCCAAACATCTGGCCGTGATGTCACCACAGAGAGGCTGCATCCTGGGCTGATCAGGTTAGCAGCCCACGAGACTCTGCCTGCCCTGAAGGCAGCTCTGCCAGGGGAGAGACCCAACAGCAGAGTGGCAGAGCAGGGTGCAGCCACCGAGGTGGCTGTGAATTTGACTTTGGCAGGAGACGGAGAGCAAGTCAAACGAAAGGAAGGAGCTGATTGGCTCGGGCCAAGCCAATCACAGCTGCAGGATCCCCGTTTGCATAATTCCCCAGATGAAGAAGGCATGGCTTTTTCCTGCCGGACCCGAAGGAGGGCCAGAAATTCAAGATTTGCCTTTGCCTTGCATTAACTCAAGATCAAAGTGATGTTTCCTTCTGGCCCTGACTATGCAAAACAGAAGTTGGCCAGGGGGAGAGAGGTCCACCCCAAGGGTTCCCCAATCCAGTACTCTCTGCCCAGGCTGGATGCCCTTCCCCATTGCTCCCAACCAACTCATGGAAGGCCACCCTCTGGTTTATGGACTAAGGAATGGTCAAATTCAAGACAAGGCAGTCAACTTTCACCAAGAGAGGGCAGTTTTCCAAGTCTACATCTCCAGCTTGTATCTGAAGCCAGTTCTGAAATGCAAAGATGACACTTGCAATTTAGGAATGCCTCATCAAATTGTGGGGACCCCCGTAGGAGTGGTGAAGCAAAGGCATAAAATATCAGATGGAGCTTTGCTCTGGAACCACGTAAACCTGTCCACCCACTTTCCCAAAATTCTGCTCACTCGCTCTCATTGTATTCACCAATATCCCATGCATTGCAGCTCTCCTGACTTCAATGACCTTCTCAGCCTGGATACCCAACTTGAGTGAATGATGAATGCAGAAAAGACTTTGAGAAATTAAAACCATCTTTTTTAAAAAAAAAAATCTTGAGAATATGCTGCCCACCAAATTGGTTTCAGGCATTGGCCCACCCCATGAAAAGTTGTGCAAGTCCACGTTTCTGCTTCCGAGAACACCAAGGGCTTCTTCCTCTGTTGAAGCTCTCCTGCAACTTAGGAAGACATTCAAAGCCACTTGGCATATGCAGAACTCAGGGAGGCCACTTCTATTCTTCTTTTCTTAGCTCTGTGTTTTTCAACCGTGACAACTTACAATGGGTGGACTTCAACTCTGCTGATTGGAGAATTCTGGGAGATGAAGATTGAAAAGTTTGAAAAACATTGTCCTAGACCAACTGACTGTGCTTAGTGCCTATTACCAAAGACACAAAGCAAAGAAAGAACATCTGCAGAACTTCATGAGAACATAGATTAAGGAGGACAACTGTCTGCATCTTTAGTAGTAGATGTAGAAGCTCTAGGCCCTGCATCCAGCCAGGCCATGGTGAAGGAAATATTGTGTTCTAGGTCTGGAAGAATTTGGCCACATGAACTTCAGAATTGTTTAGTGGCTCTGGGCTAAGATTCACTCAGGTTTTGGCTCTGCAGATGGCAGGTTCTGCTCAGTTCTTACAACTTTTTAATGTCTGTGTGACTTTGAGGTTGTCCTTTTAACAGAATAACAGAGCAGAATAACTGAGTTGGAAGGGGCCTTGGAGGTCTTCTAGTCAACTCCTTGCTCAAGCAGAAAACCCTAAACCATTTCAGACAAGTGGCTGTCCAGTCTCTTCTTTAAAGTCTCCACTGATGAAGCACCCACAACTTCTGGAATGAACTTCTGAAGCAATGAAATGGAATGGAATGAACTTCTGGAATGAACCACTGAACTTCTGGAGGGGTTGCCACTACATGGCAACCGTTGCAAAACAGAATTTTGCTCTGCGCTGTTCCCATCCGTGGACTCTCAGGACTTTGGGCTTTTTCATCAGAGGCCAGCAGATTATTCTGCTTCTCAGGTGAGATGCCTGGTCTGGAGAATCTTCCTAAACACATCCTCCCCCCCCCTTCTGCTGAGCGCGCCTTTATGGCCGTTGACTCGCCAGGCGTGGGGTTGGTAAGCGTGGTGCAGCAGATGCCAGCTAATTGCCGGCGTTCATTCTGCAGCTGCCATGGGACCAAATCAGCCAGCTGGGGCAGACCCTGGACATGCATCTGGACTCTGGCATTGGCCGACAGCCCCCAGGAACAATGCTCCCATTGTTTGGGGCCAGAGACGGCAAACACCCCTGCGCCCTGCTCAAAGGTTAATACTTCAGAAATTATCTGGCTGTGCCCATGTCAAACAAAGCTACTGAAATGAGCAATCATGTCATGGCTCTATCTTCTCTCCCCCTCCCCTTAAAATACTCCTCCCCCTCCTCCTTCTCCCTTTTTTTTTTCCATGATGATAAACTGCTTTGCAGAGCAAATGGGATTTTGTCCCCCCATTGGAACTCAACAGCCAATCCTATTATTTCATCGAGGGCTACATGAAAACAAGGAATTAAGTTGCAGCTGCGGGGGAAGACCAGACGCTCTCCGCGCATTCATCTCGGTTATGGTTTTCTCCCATTTCCCCCACCCCCCATAAGCTCGCTTTGCTTCATGTCGTAGCCTGATCAAACATGAGAGTTGCAATTGATGTCCACATGAGGATGGCAGCTTGGCATCCAGAGACAGACGTGATTTAAAGCACTTGTTGCACTTGTGATTAGCCTGCTCAGCTTGCCGTGGAATTCATGGCCCTGATGTCTTAAGCCCCCAGTTGACCATTTGGTTGAATTTGGAGAAACAGGAGGGACCAAGTGGTGGCCTTCAACACTTTGCTATTGACAGCAACTCTCTGAGGTGGACCCCCAGCTCAAGTTAGAATCCCATGATATTACCTGCAACATGGACATGTTTTTTTTTATTGCACGCATACAAAATCGTTAGGCCCGGGGTGACCATGTTTGCAATACTCCAGCAGATGTGACTTGGCAGCAAGACATGCCTGCTCACACAAAGACCTAGCTTGGTAGCCCGTGTGATTCCCAATTTATTTGCAAAAATGAAACGCTCCACCTCTAGTACATGGATCATGGAGGTGCAGGTGACCAGGCTTATCCTGGAAACAGTCTCTTCGTATGATCACTAACTATTGACATTGACTTGATGTCAAGTGGTCTGTCCATGTGGTGTCACATGTCTGGAGAGACCTCCTAGTTTCCATCTCTTTTGGTGATGCTTTGTCTCTCATCCCTCCAGACTGGTAGATTTGGTTATGCTGGAATATCAAGAAGAGCTCTAGAAACAGAACTTGACTGCATCCATGCAATGTCCCCACCTTTGTGCCACGCACATCTTGCCACATCCTGCTGCAACTGCCCAGGAAGGAACCAGCGTTGAGAATTGGCATCAGACTGGCCCCTTTTTCCTGAAAAAAGAAGATGCAACCCTTCAGAAGAGCTATGCTGTCCAATAAGTGTAATTAAATCATCCCCCAAGCAAGAGCATTGGAGACCTGCAAATAAAGACCCAGCCACAGGAATAATGGGAGCCGGGAGAGACGTGGGCACGGATGGCGTCAGAAAATCATAGCATTGCCACCAGCCCCGCCTCCTATAATTTGCAGACCCGGGTAGAAAGCCAGGGCTGAATGGAGACGTCTCCTTGAAAGGGAGCAAACGGGGCAGGTTTTCTGAAAGGCAGCTGAGAATCGGAACACAAAGGCTTGCTAAGCCTCCTCCTGCCTCCTCCATCACCTCCTCCAGTGCCACCTAAACAGCCCCAGGACCATCTGCGCAGCCCTGGCCAAAGCCCCCAGGAACAAGGTGCTCATTGTACTCCGAGGCAAGGAATACCTGTGTATATTTCAACAGGGGGAAGGTTTTTGGGGTAAGGTGCAATTACAGGCAGCGTGCGCAGCTCAGATCAAAGAGGACGATTAGGTTTCTTGAAGGCTGAAAGAGCTGGATTTTGCCCATTTAAAATTGTTTCAGGGCCCCGTTCAATTTCACTCTTCATTATCGTCTTCTGAGCCGCATCTGAAAGGGCCTCCAAAGTGTTTATTTCTTTAGTAGGAGAGAAACCCACCGTGCATAGTCCTTAATTTAAGGCTGTGTATTTGCTTAGACGGCTAGTCTGCCCTGCTCCTAGGATGAAGTATATAGAAAAGCACACACATAAGATACCGGTCAAAGATAATCTGACGATAAATGGAAAAGCCAGTTAGGATATGAATTCAAGGAGCAAATTAGGACTTAGCTCAAAAGGAGGAAGGGTGGACGACAGAGCTAACAAGGAGCCCGTGTCCCCAATGCCCATCTTCGAAGGTTGGAGATCACCATGTGGCAAAATAACCATGGAACTACTAGGAGAAGGTGCCCAAGCTATCAGACATCTGAGAATAGATGTCCAGGACCAGGAGCCCAGTTAGCAGATGGACAAGAAGTCAAGATCCAGAGATATTAAATTAAAGTCTGGAGATCTCAGGTGGTCTATTCTCAGAACACAACAGGCATCAAAATCAGGTTTCAAAGGGCAGTGTTATTGGTCAAAATGTAACCAGACAAGCTTTGGGATCAGATAAATTGTACCTTGGAGGGTCCAGGGATCACCTGTTCAGTCTTCTGACCAGGTTGCCACTGTTCTTTGATCATGGCGCCCAGTTTGTCAACTAGTGGTGATAGCAGCAGGTATGTCTCGGTAGTAGGTGCTGGACCTCCTAGAAACCTCTCTTTGCTCATGTTACATCCTCACGTGTCCATGCTGAGTTGCCTTTCAGGATGTGCAAAACAACCTTCTCTTTGTTACTCATGCAAAGTGTGAAGAACACACAACATCCCACACAAGATATGCAATGTCCAAGAAGAGAGGGGGATCCAAGCCTGGAGGTTTTTAAGAAGAGACTGGACAATCTTTTGTAGGGCACTTTTTCTATTTGAGCAGGGAATGGGACTAGAAGACCTCCAAGGTCCCTTCCAACTCTCTCATTCTGTATTCTGCTTGGATCGGTGTGGTCAGAAAGGAGATCTTTCACCATTTCTGATTCAGCATCCATTGCTTTGTATACCAACCCATTGTTTCAGCTCATTGCTAGTTTTTTAAGCAAAAAATATGCTGAATAGAGGCAATTATTTGAATTCTGGCTTTCATCCACTTTGTTAGCAATTCATAAGTCTTTACTTTCATTCCGAATTTACTCTTGGCTCCAGTGCAAGTATGCCCCTCCGAGTTATGCCATCTCAT